ACGAGAGTTTTTCAGCCTGCCTGCGAATAAATCTTACCTTTGCTCTTGCCTTTTCAAGTGCTAGGAGGTTCTCTCCTGTGGGATATTTACGAAAAATGTCCCACTCCTTGAGTTGCATTTTTTTAGCTTGTGTGCACTCTTTTGTCCACCAGGGTTTAAGTTTTTTCTTTATAATGCCGGAGGATTGTGGTATAGTTTGTTAGGCTGCCGCAAGTATGCAGGTGGTGACTGTCTCGTTCATTTCCTCTATGTTTAGGCCATCAAACATCTATTTTTCTAGGGCAGCTTTTTCAGTGAACAGTGGCCAGTCTGCCAGATGTAGTTTCCAAGGCGGTGGTCGGGATGGAGTGGTGAGGAGGGTTTGCGTTAATTTTATGGGAGCAGGCATATGGTCACTGCCGTAAACATTATCTATCACGCTCCACTTTAGGTTGCAAAAGAGCGACGGTGAGCACAGCGCTAGATCTAAGCAGCTAGTGGCTCCTGTGCTTGGGGAGCAGTAGATGACGCTACCAGTATTTAAAAGACATACGTCATTGTTCAGAATAAAATCTTCGAGGGTTTGTCCTCTGGTGTCAGTTGTACTGCTTCCCCAAAGCATTCCGTACGCGTTAAAATCCCCTGCAATAACAAACGGTTCAGGCAATTGGTCCAAAATATGCTCTATATCTTTAGTTGAAAAATGCGTGTGTGGGGGGATATAAATGGAACATATGGTGATAGTTTTGTGAGCTAAAATGGTGACGGCCACGGCCTCAGTGTGACTGTTGATGGTGATCTTTCTCACTGCAATACCACTTTTGACGACAATAGCCATGCCGCTGGATAACCGGCTAGCGTGGACGCGATCGCGCCGTACTACGGTAAAACCTCCGAGGAAGTTGGTGTGTTTTTCTCCCAGATTGGTCTCCTGTAAGCACATAGCCATTGGAGAGAGACTACTTAGCCAATCTTTTATGTCACCTATGTTGTGAATGAGTCCTCTACAATTCCAATGGTGTCTTCTACAATGAAGTCCTCTACAATTCCATGTAGAGAACCCAATGGAGTCCTCTACAATTCCATGTCGACGCCCGTGGTGGGGCCGTGTTGACTGAGGCCAGAGCAGCCTTGGCTGCTGCCGCAGTAGGGGCAAGCGGCAGTCGCTCCAGCACGCTATGCGTAGCTTGGGCGGCCACCTGATGCCGTCGTGGTGCTGCCCCCTGTCGCACCACTTCAGCAAATGATTTTGTTGCATAGTAAGGGGAGACGTGATGCCTTGCTTCGCGGAAACTGATGTTGTGGGTGACTTTGATGGTAATAATTTCTTTTTCTTTTTTCCATGCTGTGCAGGATCTAGAATACGCCGCGTGTTCCACATCGCAGTTCGCGCAGTGGGGTTCGGCCTTGCAGTCATCATCTGTAGAGTGGCCTGTGATACCACACCGTGCACAGGTAAGCTGCCCACAGCAACTCTGAGAAGCATGTCCGAATCTTTGGCACTTGAAGCAGCGCCGCGAATTCGGAATGTAGGGTCTCACAGGCCGTTTTAGGTAGCCGGTAACTAATTCATGCGGTAGTGTGGAGCACCCGAAGGTCAAAATTATGTGCTTCGTTGGAGTTTCTTTGTTTTCTCTTCTCACTACGATACGCTGTACGTGAATGACATTTTCGTCCTTCCAGCCAGCCAGAAGCTCATCATTTCTTAGGTCTTTTACGTCATCGTCTGACACAACGCCTTTGACAGTGTTTATCGCTCGGTGCGCAGAGACGGTTAAGGGCTTGTCCCCAAATGCTACTAATTTTTCTAGTTTCTCAAACTGTGTCTTGTATTTAACTTCTACTAGCAAGTCTCCGCTTGCCATCTTTGTAGCCTTATAGCCAGTTTCGATAGTCTCGGTTAGGCACTTGGACATGAGGAATGCGGAGATGTTGCAAGCTTTTTTGTCTGAGTTTTCGCAAAGAATAACGTGGTACTTAGGGAAATGGTGTTGTTTTTCCGAAATCGGCATTACGTTTGCTTCGGTGCGCCACCTTTTGAAGGGGCGATCAATGGAGAAGGGGTTTCGTGATCCCATAGAAAAGTGCAGTTCGTTCAGTATTGGCGCCTACCACCCACCACGGAGTCCAACAAGGGAACGTGGCAGAACATGTAAACATGTCTGCACAACGCCAGTAGTATGCCAATGCCATAACCTAATAGTATATCTACCCAAGTTTGGATATTTACACCAGGTTAACCCTTGCTGCCAGGAAAAATTGGAAGTAAAATGAAGTGAGGAGAAGACAGGAAAGATGTAAAGTGAGAACAAAAGACGAAGATGTAGGGAGATAGAGATAGAAAAATTCGACTACCGATTGCCGCTGAGTGGGTCAGCCCAGAGGTGCCGTCTACGTGAAGCCGGGGCCAAAGGGGTGTGTTGCCTCTGCCGGGAGGCCTTACAGGTCCAAGCGTCGGCTCAACCCCAAGGATCCCCTTTTCCCCGGACACGGCTCAGCCACGCACGGCTAGGCGTGGGAGGGAGCCGAAACCCCCCCGTTAGCTCGGGTCCGTGGTGTCGCTACACACCAAACGCCTCCTTGTGCAGGCGCCCCTGCGGGGGCAATTGAGATTAGTAAATGCAAAATTGTTAAAGAACAGCCAGGCTGCAATATCTGAAGACTTTTCTGATATTAGTACATTCTAAAAGAAAGCAGCAGTGGAATTTTGTGAAATCTCGTATGAAGGATTGCAACCAAGTCAGTCTACAATACAATGGTACGATGATACAATGGCACGAAGTATGATAATGATACAATGATATATATAATATATAATATACAATAATGATAATGATACAATGGCATGAAGTATGATAATTGCGTATGTGCAATTATCAAGTAAAGCTAAAATAGAAGAGTTTTGATCAAACATGGCACTTTCACACCGTTACATTTTAAGGGCAAGATTGGAACGCGGTTAGTAACAAGCACATTGCTTTTTTTTGATAGTTTTCATACAAAGTATATATGATTCAAGCAACAGACAATGCAAAATGTTTAATCAATAAGTTTTCACACACAGTTATCTCCGTGAAGTTCTTGTATAAAATGTTTCTGTGCACACAGATGGACACAATTGCTAGTTTTTTTAATGGGGCATTTCGCCATCGTACATGTTTTCATGGAGTTTGATTTCATAAGCAGTACTTATAAAATCAAATTTTCTGAATGTATATATATTATATTTTCTGAATGTAAGGCAGATCATGAAAAACCCTTAAACGAATGCTTATTTTTAGACTTCTTATACATTTTATACTTAAAGATGATGAAAAATTCATAATTATCTGGCGCACTCCAGATATGCTCAAAGTTGATCACAGTACAATATCTGAATAAAAAAAACTCTAACGTGTAAGCATTTTTGTGAACGGCCCGATCTAATCTCTGCCACAATTTTATTTTGCTTAGGTGCAAGAGTCATTCTGTGAGAGCAGCCAGATCAGCACAAAATTTCGTGGAGCAGGATGCGCTGCAAGGTATTGCTCAAGATGACCCAGCAATGCAAGATGAAGAGAACTCTGTTTTCCTCAATGTCATGCTTTCAAGTGGTTTAGAATCGCTAGAGACGTTTCTTGCACCCACCAGTAATGACAATCCTCAGCCTTCGACAGGAACCTGAAAAACAGGGGGGCAAGCTCATCCAGCTACACAGGCTGATGCTGTAAGCGTCGAAAGTTGAGATGACGGTTTTCATTTTCACCCGTTATGTCACTAAAACTGCCGATGTAGGTGCTTCTTTAATTTTTGTGTAGCCTGCTTAATTTTTTATACCCAACAGGCATGCTAAACTGAACCAGAATTTTAAGAAAATTTGATTATCCTATTGTCAACAACAAATGGGTCTGAGGCCTCAAGTTTTTCAGAGTAAACAGTGTGACAAGGTACAGTCACCACTACACATTTGCAGGGTTTGTCTCATACTTGGAGTGGGGTTCATTTTTATTGTAATTGTTGTAGTAATAATTTATAGGGAACCTCGTATAAAAACATATAAGCAACATATAAGCGTTCCTAGCTGTAAAAAGTATGGAATTAAATCAGTGTCATAATGTACGTGATCAGTGCCATCTGCAGTCTTACTGTTTGCTGTCTTTTGAAAAATTCACCGGTTCTTATTTCAATTTTATCAACATGCATTTTTTGTGTGTTTGTGTTGTATACTTCGTGTGCATATGCGTGACCACTGCGTGGCTTCCCCTCCGCCTCCTGTGGCCCCAACCGCCCCAACTCCCGCAGTGAGGAAGGTGAAGTACAAAGCGAAGGATTTGGCTGTGAAGGTGAAAATGTTGAAGGCGTTGCGAGTGGGAGCATTTCCAAAAGAAGTGATGGAAAAGTTCAATGTGAACAAAAGCACGCTGAGCACTTACGTGAAGACCGAAGAGGAGATTATGCAAGCATATGACAGGGACATGTTTGGTGACCAAAGAAAGAGGCTTTGAATGGCACAGCATTTCAAGCTACAAGAAGCGCTGTTGCGCTGGATTGCCGTTTCGCGCGATGTGCGTTTGCCCTTGAGCGGCCCTCTTATCTGTGCACAAGCAGAGAAGTTCCCAGTGACCATGAACATTGACTCCTTCAATGCGTCGGAAGGCTGGTTCAACTGCTCCAAGAAGCGACACGGGCTGGTGTTCTGCAGCATGTGGTGAAAGAGGTGCGGTTGATGAAAGTGTTGGGCAGGACTGGTGGTCTGGACTACCTGCGGGCCTTCCTGCGTACAAGCCGTGCAACATTTTCAACGCTGACAAGACAGCGCTGTTCTATAAGGCTCGGCCTGACAAGAAAATTGCGTTTAAGGGGGACCCATGCGTCACTGGAAAACGAAGTAAAGAGCGCGTGACAGTTCTCCTGGCTGCTAACATGACCGCTACAGAGCGGCTGCCGCTGCTGGTCATCGAGAAGGCAGCGAAGCCAATAATGTTTTAAGAATATTAAGCAGCTGCGTGTCGACTACCGGTTCAACAGAAAGGCTTGGTTGGATGACTGCCGAACTCTTTCAAGCCTGGCTGCGTCAGCTCGACTGCCACTTTGCGGCCAAGGCTCAGAAGATGTTGTTCGTGCTAGGCAACTGTAGTGCGCACATGAAGGTGTCCGGGCTCGAGAACATTGAACTGCTATTCGTGCCTCCGAACACAACAGCTTCCCAGCAGCCAATGGACCAGGGAATCATAGAGTTTGTGAAAAGCCGCTATCAACGGCAGGTAATCCAGCAGATGTTGCTCTGCATGGAGTCAGGCAAGCAGTATGAAGTAGACCTGCTAAGCGCAACCCAAATGCTGGCATACGTGCGAAACAACACACCACCTGTAGTAGTCGCAAACTGCTTTAGGCATAGCGACTTAGTGCACGGTACTGCTGATCCGGGGGTGGTGGCCGATGAGGAAACCGGCAAAGAGCAAGACGGCCACTATGTGTGCATCATGCCAGCTGATGTGCCTCTGGGCGATTACTTCGCAATTGACAGCGATGTTGCCATGGCCGGCACAGTGACCGACAGCGATATCGTCGCCGAAGTATTGGGCGGCGAAGGGGAATCGGCTGATGAGGACGCAAGTGATGCTGACGAGCATAAACGCCCCACTATGACAGACGCTGCACATGCACTGGTCATTTTGGAGGACATATGCATGCTTTTCTCGGGCAGCATGCGCGAACTAAGCCGCCTGCAGAAATTTTGCAAAACTGTAACTTTGTGGCACATTGCGTCCGTGAAGCAAACAGTGATCACAGACTTTTTAAAGAAAAAATTGGCCCGAATTTACATGTTACACTGTAAATGTCATCGAAAGACGATAGTCTTGCGTCTGAAGAGATTGAACAAAACGTTTATTTGATGTTCTGCGCAAGAAAATCAGTGAATGGTATTCTCAAGACGCTGCGTTAGAGTGCCTTGAGCGTGTGGCGGTGGCGAACAAGCGCATCTAGGCACATTATACACAAGTGCCATCTGGCAGTTATCTTCGAAAACGAAGGCCCGCGAGACCGTGGAGCAAGATGCACACCAGTCTCGGAGGTGATAAGACGTAGAATGCAAAGCGACGGGCAGGTGCCACCACCGTGTCGTCGTAGCAAAGCGTTGGAAACCCCTCCTTGAGCATCGCGTTGCACTGTCAGCACAGCGCGATAAACACTACAGTCCTTAGAGTTATTCGTTTGTGCCTCTTCTAGCATAAAGGCAGACATACAAAACATAGACGTGTTGTTATGGCACCTCAGATATGCACAATGTTTGCTTTTTCAATTGACAATCGCACAACTATGAACGCTATACCTTGAGCACTATTGGTGGGCGCTGCGGATGGGGTTGGCCGTTTGGTGCCGTTTCAGGTAGCGTTAGGACGGACAAACAGACAAATGTACCGACAGACAGACCAAAATTTTTCTGTCAAAGGTCCCCAAGAAAGACTATCGTCTTTAATAAAAGTCTGTTGGTATAGAAAATATTTTTAAAGTGTTTCGTTCGTACTCGCGATAATTCCTACCCTCGTTTGATTTGGACATTCTCTCAAGTCTCGTGAAAACCGAATTAACGGAGTTTTACTGCACTGAGTAAAATGAATATTGGTTCACGAGAGATGTTAGGTCGCTGTGCTGGAAGTGTATCATACATTAAGTTATAAGCAGGAAAAACCATTAAAGGGGTCCTGCGACACTTATTCAAGTAGCCATCAAATGGTTGCTTTGGAGCATTGCTTCACAAACGACCGCTCTTAAATGTTTACAATTCGTCCCATGCAAATCGAGTTACAGATATTTGTTGCACGCTGTAATTGCTTTCTTCTCGCACTTCTAAGCTAAGTACGAAGGGACAGCATTGGGGGGAAAAAAAGATATGGCAGATGCGCATCATAACCATGAGTACTTTTTCTTTTTTTTTTTTTTGAGCGCCAAATGCCCAAGTGCGATGTCTTTTCTGAAAGATGAAGAAATTTTCGGTCAGGAGATTACTAAATTCCGAAATTCATTTTTTGTTTTACCAAAGCAAGTTCCACCCCACCAGAAAACGCTACTCATATAAAAATAAAATGGCCATACGAACCCAAATTTTGCTCTTCCAAAGCCTCTTTTTTTCTCCTGTTGGAAACTTGCTAAAGCTATTAAGCATGCCTCATCTTCAGTAACAAAGCCCTTGATTGTTAGTGTAAGCAATATGAAGTGTGGAAGAACTTCTGATTCTTCCAGAGGTGGAATGTTTTATTGTTGCATTTTCCACATAATCTTAATTTTGTTCATTCTCAAACTATGATGTATGCTGAAAAAAAATTTCGTGTTTTGATGTCTGGAAAAATCTTGGTATATCATAAAACCATTTCATTGAAGTTGAAAAATAGTTGGGACCCTTTATTTGTCCTTATCTAGAAACACTGCACGTACCAAAGTATAAGCAGGGTCTTTGAGCTAACATGCACCAAGTTTTAAAGGTGTAATGTTTAGAATAAAACCAAATATATGTTTTTCGGAGTCTTGATGAAAAACAGATCAACCTCCTTTTCAGTGACGTTGAAATAGTGCACATGGGTATGCACTAGTGCAGTAGTTTTCAGAATGTGTAGTGTGTGTGTGAACATTCTGGATTGATACTGTCACCACACTTGCCTGTGACACTGGAAGAACGTGTCAATACACGTTGTTATTTACTTTAGTTTTGCTGAGAAAACTTGGGACTTTCTGTCAAAGTTTCTTGCTATTGGCGTGCCAATACTTATCGCAGCTGCATTTTTTCTTTACAGAAATTGAACAAAGTGTTAAAGAAGTAGCTTTCAGTAGTGACAATGCTGATTCTGCCTATGTTCAGAAAGACAAATTCGAGAAAAAAGCTGTGGCTGTTTGGCAAAAGTTGTGCAACTTGGAACAGAGCCGTACCACCACAAGCCGTGAGCGGGAAAAAAAAGCTCCACTATGAAGGTGGGTCATATTTGGGCAATGATGCAAAATAAGTGGTAATTGGTTGTGTGCTTGATATTGTGTGTGAAGCCAGCATTTGGCCTATTGTGTGACTACAATAGGCAGCACAAATATATGTTCTCTAGGAGGTTAAGTTTTGCATGCTTTTGGGTTCACCAATTTACTTCTGTGGCTAATGGCATATACAGTTAAACCTGGATATAACGAAATTGATAAAATTCTAGAAAAATTCGTTATAAAAGAGATTTCGTTATATGCAGGTTCGGTAAGAGTTTCGGAAAATAAACGTGCTAATGAAACGAAATCGGGACTAAAGGCAGAGCTAACTCAAAACACTTACTTTACAGTAAAAAAAAAACTGCGTTATTATTGTGATAGCAATTATAAAGACACTCTCAGCGGGTTTTCGCCGTCGCCGCCATGTTCCTTAACACGTCCAGATTGATAACATGCCATCGCGCATAGTAACTTTCACGATCGGATAAAAGCAGTAAGCGAGCGAGTAAAAGCGCAAGAGCGCTCGCAGAGAACAAATGAGTCGGCCCATCCCTCTCGCCTGGAAAGTGCATAAGATAACCTGCCGCCGAATGTTAAAAATAAACCACCCATCTTGAACAAGCGTGAAACAACGCAAGGAGCGGGGGGTGGGGGGGATCTCTAGAGTAGCAATAATAAATTTGGACATTAAAGGGAGATGCTACTCGAAGACACATAACAAGCACCGCAGGAAAAGGGGGGTCTCGCACCGCGAGCCCTTGCTGTGCGGTCGCTGCCACTGCACATGCGTCGTAACGCGAGTCCCCATTCGCGACCCGCCCCCAGAAAATCCGAAACAGCGTGCGCCGATCACGGCCCGCGAGGTGTTGTCTGTAGCTTCTGTGCATTTGAGTTTGCAATCGGGGTGAAAGTCCCTAAACTTTTCCCTAGGCGGAGCAAACGCTATTCTAAAATTCATAATGCGTCCGCTATACCTGCAACCCCCGCAGACATGATTCTAAAGCTCCCTAGTAGAAGTACAGTCAACGCGTGCGGCGGCACAGTTGCACTTCGTCGGTTGCATGAACACTTGTTCATCGCGGAAGGCGGAGTGGGCAGCCGCCGAGCTCAAGTCTGCGCCGTCTGGGCTTCGTCTTTGTTCGCTCTGTACGTGAGGTGTTTGCGAGGAGAGAAGCCCGCGAATGCTGGGCGCCATTGCTCTCTGAAATGGACGGTCGAACTTGCGGTTTGTGAGCTTCACTTCCAAGCAGAGAACTTCATAACGACATTGTCATGTCGAGATGAACGAACAGGAAGGATAATAGAAGTAGAACTGGAAAAACACAAGCTGAAGCACAGTGTTGTACCTTTTGCCTTTCCAAACTGTCTAAAATACTTGTCCTTCAAGCCAACACGTCGTGAATCGCCAGCGAGGAAGATCACAAGAAGGGAGAGCGCTGCTTTGCAAGAAGCTGTGCAAGAAGTGTGGACACGGGAACAGCATCACATCAAGTTTTCCTAATCTACTGTTCAACATGCAGGAATTACCATTACTCCTGCTGTCATGGTCAGCGGTTGCCTTTGCCAGCCCGATAACCGCCCCTGCTGCGCCGATGGTGCCGATAATGCTTTCGTCCGGCATCGACTCCGGGCATGTGCACTTGCCGGCAAAGCTTTCTTCGGCTGTGGAATACGGACTGCCAACCGCATCGACCCTGACATCATGCCCAGAAAAGAACTTAAGCTGCTGCTTTCACCGAGCTTCCTTCAGTGGACACGGGAACAGCATCACATCAAGTTTTCCTAACCTACTGTTCAACATGCAGGAATTACCATTACTCCTGCTGTCATGGTCAGCGGTTGCCTTAGCCAGCCCAATAACCGCCCCTGCTGCGCCGATGGTGCCTATAGTGCTTTCGTCCGGCATCGACTCCAGGCATGTGCACTTGCCGGCAAAGCTTTCTTCGGCTGTTGAATACGGACTGCCAACTGCATTGACCCTGACATCATGCCCAGAAAAGAACTTAAGCTGCTGCTTTCACCGAGCTTCCTTCAGTGGACACGGGAACAGCATCACATCAAGTTTTCCTAATCTACTGTTCAACATGCAGGTGTGTAAACCATTACCGCTATTTGCTAGGAAATCAAATGACGCCTTTCTGCTAGTGTGCCCGTGTCCACAAATGTTATGTGAAATTGTATTAGACTGTTTTTCAGTGGCATTGCTTTTATTACGCTCTGGTGACGTTGTGGCAAATCCGGGACCAACTACGCGCTCAGAAAATCTATTAGATATCGAATCTCTGCCTGAAAACCCAACTGAGCAAATGTCTGTTCTTTTTAAATTGATCAAGGATATTCATACAAGATTATTACAAAGTGCAAAGGTTCAGAACGAATTAGCAGCTGATATGAAGTCAATTAAATGTGGCCAGAAGAACATAAAGGCAAAGATTATCGCCATACAAAAGCGCCTCAACGACCTCGAGCAAAAATCGGAAGTCCTCGAGAAAGTTAATGAAGAGCTATCTGAAGTGCATGCTTCGGTCAACAACCTCGAAGCACGCAATTTTTCACTCCAGACACGACTTGATGGCTTGGAAGATCGCTCACGGCAAAACAATCTTCTCTTCTATGGTTTTCCCGATTGCAGAGAAACATGGCAGGAGACAGAAGCCAAACTAACCTCTGAAATAAAGTCAGTTTTAAGTACCTTCACAGGCAGCACGATTGAGAGGGCACACAGGCTAGGTTTCTTTTCTCCTACCAAGTGCCGCCCAATAATTGTCAAGCTTACCGACTTCAAATCTAAAGAGCAACTTTTTTTGCTCAGAGGCCAATTAAAACAAAGAAACATCGGTGTATCGGAAGACTTTTCAGCAACCACCCGCCTCGCCCGCAAAAAGCTAACTGAATTTCGTAACAATCAGCCTAATGCTGCATCCTTTAAACTTTGCTACAATAAGATGCTAGGTAACGGAAAGTGTTATATCTACAATACTAACCTTGGCATCGTCGAAGAATCGCAATCACAAGCTTCTTACGCAGGCCACGCTCGACATCAACCTACAAACAGTTCACAATAGGGAAGCAAGAGGGGAGATGGTCTATTACCTGCTTCTAAAGCGAAGCTATCCTTCCTTTATTCAAACACAAGAAGCATTGCTAACAAGTCTGACTCCTTACCATCCGCGATAGATTCGTGCGGCGCTCATGTGATTGCACTTACTGAAACGTGGCTTTCTCCAAATACGCATGACAATGAATTGTTTGATAATGCACAAGACTTTACTATTTATCGCTGTGATCGCACACTGCGCCGAGGGGGAGGCGTACTCTTAGCTACATCAAAATGCCTTCCATCGTCATGTATACAGATTAATCACGACATTGAAATAGTATGGGTTCTGCTAACAATTCATCACTTAAAAATCATCCTAGGGGTATGCTATCGGTCGCCTTCATCTTCGGAAACGTTCATAAGTGAACTCCACGATTCCGTAAACATGGTCGCTTCGCGCTTTCCTTTCACGCCTTTGTTTCTACTAGGCGATTTTAACCTGCCCAACTTAAATTGGAACGCTGATCCACCGAGCTTATTACCTTTTTCAGCACAAGCCAAGGATTTCGTAGATATGTGTTCTGTTTTTCACCTGTGTCAACTGGTGACCCAACCTACAAGAATAACCAGTACCACTTCAAGTACCCTTGACCTTATCTTGACCAACTCGCCTGATCTAGCCTCTGAAATCACTTATATGCCTGGTATCAGTCATCATTCTATGCTTGCTTTTCACCTTAAAATGCCACCCCCAAAACGAACCAAAGTGAAAAAACTCAATAGTCGATTACAGTAATGCAAATTTCGATGTCATTAATGACGAACTATCGAACTTCGTTGCTTCCTTTTTTATCCAGTTCAGTGATGGCTCTGTCCAATCGAACTGGGATATTTTTGCTGAAAAAGTAGACGAACTTACCAAGAAATACATTCCTAACCGAACCATCATTTCTATTCACCAGGCACCATGGTACAACACCTACATCAAACGCCTATCTAACCGTAAAAAACGACTTTACAGATCAGCAAAACTAGCGGCTTCTGAAGACCGTTGGGCGATTTACAAAGCAGCGCACAACGCTTACCTTACCGCCTTAAAATCCTCTAAATTACATTTCCTTTCTCGAACTCTCTCAGATATGCTTGTAAATAATGTACGTAAATTTTGGCGCTTAATTAACCCTTTACCAGATAACACCATAGTTCTAGTAGATGATTTTGACAATCCAGTTCCTACTGACATGTGCGCCGATCTATTTAATGACACTTTTAAAAACAACTTTTTTTGAGTTGTTAATGTCATCCAACCCCATGTGCTTCAATTATATTGCCATGCCACCAATTTCCATTGAACACTGCGGTATTGCTAAAATCGTAGATAACTTGCCCTTTCACTCATTCCCTGGCCATGACAATATTGGTACCAAATTTCTGAAAAGCACTGTTACTTACAGATCAGTGATACTAACAAAAATCTTTCAACAGTCCTTAGATACATCAACCATTCCTACACAATGGAAAATCGGGAGGGTGGTCCCAATCTTTAAGTCAGGCAATAAACACTCTCCGAAAAATTATCGCCCTATTTCGTTAACAAGTACTTCCTGTAAATTATTAGAACATGTCATTTTCACCAACCTCATGAACTTCCTTGAATCGAACTCTTTTTTTACACCAGCACAACATGGTTTTCGCAAACATTTTTCATGCGAAACACAGCTCATATATTTCACTCACAAACTGCATCACATTTTAGACCGTTCATCATGTGCTGATTGCGTTTTCTTAGACTTCAGTAAGGCTTTCGATAAAGTCTGTCACCAACTACTACTGCTCGAACTGAGCCTACTAAATATTGACAATATTTTTCTCAAGTGGATTGAGTGTTTTCTGTTTAACCATTTTCAATATGTTACTGCTAACAATCACAATTCGTCATCTGCTGCGGTGCACTCAGGTGCACCGCAAGAGCCAGTTCTTGGTCCACTTTTGTTAGTTCTTGGTCCACTTTTGTTTCTAATTTATATTAATGACCTCACGTCTTCACTTTCTTCTAACATTCATCTTTTTGCAGTTGACTGCATCATTTTTCGTGAAATAGCTAGTAATAATGACAGTTTAAGCCTCCAATCTGATCTTAACAATGCAACAGCTTGGTGCAGCACATGGCAAATGGACTTAAACATCGCTAAATGTAAGGTAATGCGCGTAACTAGATTGACTAACACCCCACCTAAATACTACTTAAGCGACTTCCCGCTTGATCCAGTCTCCTCGTATAAATACCTGGGCATTCTTATCACATCTAACTTATCTTGGGCACCCCACATCGCATACATTACTAATAATGCTAATCGCAAGTTAGGCTACATACAACGTAACTTTTCAAAAGCACCTTCTGCACTGAAACTTCTGTTGTACAAAACATTAATACGTTCCAAACTTGAATATGCATCATCAGTGTGGGATCCTTACCTGGTTACTGGTTACTTCACTTGGTCCCTGGTTACTTCACTTGAGCGCGTACAGAATAACTCCGCCCGTTTCATACTTTCTAACTACAATCGCATCGCCAGTATCAGTTCAATGAAATCCAGCCTAGGCCTTCCTTCCCTTGCATCCCGTCAGAAAATATCTCGTTTGAGTACACTTCACAAATCATTCCATCATCCCACCCTACATAACGAATTAATCCTCAATCCTCAGTCCATATCCCCTCGCATCGACCATCGTCATAAGGTTGGAATCGCATCCTGCAACTCGCAGTGTTTTTCTCGATCATTTATACCTCATACATCAGTAGATTGGAACCACCTTCCCGAAGACATCGTCACTATTACTAATAACAATATTTTCCGTCAAACCTTACTCAGTATTGTATGAGCTAAACGTTACTCAAAATTGTATTATGTTCACTGTCATTGCACAGCTACTATTGTATAATCAGGAGTTTTTCTTTACATTTTTACTTTTATGTTTGTTGCATTGTTTATTCTATGCTTTATTTTCTCTGCTGTACATTCTGTTGTATAATATGTATTTTCTATGCTGTATATTCGCATGCTGTATTTTCTTTTTCCTTGTAAACTTTATTTCCACTCCCCTCTATAATGCCATATGGCCCTGAGGGTAAATAAAATGAAATGAAATGAAATTTAAAGACTTTGCTCGTGGGGACGAGGAGGATTTCGTGCACGGAGGCCAGAGACGATGAAATTCTTCACCAGGTCGTGCCCCAGCCGGGGAGCGGTTCAGATGATGATGACGATGATTGCCCGCAGCTGTCGGCAGCGGAGATCGCCACTGTGGTGACGCTTTTGTCGAGCATTTACGGTGTCCATGTCACCTTGGCGCAAATACGGGTGAACCGAATTGCTTCCAAACGTAGTATGAAGCAAGGCAGAATCATGGACTTTCTTAAGCCTGCCTGATGCAATAAAGTTCATATTTCTGACAAAAATGAATTTTTCGGACTGTTCGATTTCTCTGACTTTTTTTCGGTTTCCGCCAGGTCTGCAAAATCAGTCGGCGACTGTATAGGCATACGACGGTATGTTCATTTCGGATATTCCCGACATCCATCAGATGTCCACAAATGGATGTTCACTCACTCACCATTCCTCTAGAACAGCCAACATGGACATTGACAAGCTCTTCAGTGGATATATGTATATCCATTTACACTCAAACCTTGTTATAACGTAACGGGGTATAACGAAACAATGGATATAACAAAGTAAATCAAA